AATTGGCAGAAGGCGGTCTCTCAAGTATCCAGATCCACTACCATGCAGGGCTTTATGGGTGACTAATAACACCATTTATAAACATTTATGCACACCTATGCTTGCACACTGATTTAGTTTACCACCCGAGGATGTTGACTAAAAATTGTGATGGAGTGAACAATAATGTGAAAATTGTGAGACCTGATAGCCACTGGTTTGGGAAGACCATCCATCAGTTTTGGTCTTCAGTGCAAAATAATTTCTCTTTCGGTAACACAGACTCAACGCAACCACAGTCTATACAGAACCCACCTGGTGTATTCTTAGCAAGAAAGGGGTGCCAAATGTTCCAAAAACCTCTTTCTGGAAATGAGCCACTGTAATTAGCATCTCATTCTCCTTATCGAGCTCTACCTGGTCCAAAGGAATTTCCTACAGCGAGAAAGATCAATGAAATATGCTGATTATGAAGACTGTCCGGCAGCAGCATTAGCAGGATAGTTGAAAAACATGGCAGTAATCGAATCAGAACTTCTGAAATCAAACTTCTGAAAAAGGAAGTAACCAAGACAACGACGTTTGATTAGGGAGCAGCTAGAGGATCTCAAGATGAGCAGAACGAAAGCCCCTTCACGCACTCCATCATGGTACTCTCTTAGTAGGGTTTCTTTCATTACCCAAACTAAGTAACATCATCAGAGCTGGTAATGAAACTTCTGCACAAAAACTATCAAACTCAGAGAGCAACAAGAACCCTTAATTTCAACCGTGAGCTAGAAATATTCTCTTTTATCAACCTTTAAATGAGAAGCAGAAGTTGTGAAGGGGATAAAAATCAAACTGTAAGTCTCCCCTGGGTGGCCTAGTTTTGTCAAGTCTGCAAAATATATTTTTGTTCCATAATTTGTCCATTATGAACAACTGATTTGGGGTATCTGACAGACTTAAAAGCTCTTTTTAACTTACTGCACCTGTGTATGGTTTGCCAATTGCACAGTGGTAGATAGGCCATAACTCTAGAGGGTTCATCATTGCTCAGAGGATCATTGGTTGCCCTCTCCCCTCTTTGGAAGAGCTTTATAGTTCCCGCCGGCTTAAGAAAGTTTAAAATATTCTTAAAGATCCATCTCATCCTGGGCACCTTTTTTTTTTNGCCGAAGCCAATAATTAATTGCTGTAAGATGCAAAAGGAAATTAAAGTTAGAAGGAACAAGCTCTTGAGTTATATACAAATGGTAAAACCTATCAAGTATATTTGATACGGCAACAGAATCACTAATACTGTTCTATGTATCCAATAGGGTTTTCAGAAGAAAAAATGCTGTATCAAAAGCTTTGGCTAGTAAGATGGGCAGCATATACATTGAGCTAACAAACAGTTTGTTAATTGATTGCACCTTTGCAATTCTTCAGTTAGTTCATGTATGGTACTGAAAAGCTAAGTAACAACAACAAATCCCTACCCGTAGATAAAAATTCTGATTTTTTCCTCAAATACTTTACTATTACTGGAATTTTGGAATGAATAAAACCTTTTGTAATTTATAAGACATGAATTTAAGGACGTGAATTTAAAAACTTGCCATTTGATCATTCTGAACACAACAACAGATGAAAGGGCTTACCTCTTCCCTAAATTGGCTGTTTAGCCATATGCACTTAAAACTTCTCCTGTTTTCAAAGTCTGTGATTTTCATTTTAAGCTATGGAGAGTTAGGGAGGAAAAAGGCACCAATTTATTCATACTGAAAAACGAGACAATTGTTCCTTCTTGCAGAAGTAACAGAAGCCCCTTACCTGCTGATAATAAAGTTTCTTAGGTTGTCTGGGTTTGAAGAATTGCAGGAGATCTCTTAAAGTTCCATCATAATTATGCCTAAGAGGGTTACCAGGACCATCCCTGTAACTAAAAATGTGACACAGACAGACAGACAGAAAGACAGAGACAGAGACAGACAGACAAGGGGGGAGGGGAGGAAAGAAATCTCACTTTAAAATACTTTCTGCACAGCATTTTAATTGGATTCCCCCCCCCCCTGTAATCAGTCTTTTAATATACTCTGTTAGATATGCACTATGATTTCTCCCTGCCCTTAAGAATAAAGAGAGGGAGCTGTAGTTGTGCAGTTGTTAGAATGCAGGATTGCAGGCTACCTCTGCCCGACTGCCAGGAGTTCTATCCTGACCAGCTCAAGGTTGACTCAGCCTTCCATCCTTCCGAAGTCGATAAAATGAGGACCCAAATAGTTGAGGAGCAAGATGCTGACTTTGCAAACTGCTTAGAGAGGGCTATAAAGCACTGTGAAGCAGTATATAAGTCTAACTGCTATTGCTATATAAAGGTTTTACAGAATCTACAGAGGTTTACCATCTTGTGGAAAACATATTTTTTTAAAAAACCTGCTCTTAAAAAAGTATGCACGTTGGTCCATGATGAAGACAGAACAACTTGGAAAGAATGTTTAACCAGAATGTCAATTGCACCAGGATCTAAAACACACACTTACATGCAGCATGAACCAAAATCCAAAGAATCTTGCTATGCAAAATGCTGCAAATTATCTTCTGTGCACAACTGGCTTTCCCTCCCCAAATCCAGGATTCTACCCTGGAGATTTCTGGCATCAGGAATACACATAGCAATAGCAGTAGACTTATATACCGCTTCATAGGGCTTTCAGCCCTCTCTAAGTGGTTTACAGAGAGTCAGCATATTGCCCCCAACAATCT